GAAGAAAAACCCTGAATAGACCGAGTGTAAGGATGGAGTTTGGTGGTATTGAAAGAAGCTGATAACTTTTTTTTGTTAACCATATATAACTTCTATATACAGTTCCAGTGTCTCAAATATACCTTCATTAATTATTAACTGCATGTGATTATTATGGCAATGTATTAAAAAAATCATTATATTATCATCATATCAAGAAACGTCCACTGGCTGCTGTAAAAGTATTTTTCTACTCCCGTCTGTAAAATGGCTAATGACACACCGATCTAGCGTGCGGGAAGCGTCACTTTTAGTTTCGTTTCCGACGAATCTGAGCCACTTCGGACATATCCGGGATTTTACCGCACGGGTTTGGGAGCAATCGGATGTTTTCGGGGATATTTTCCACGCCTTGAATTTTGACATTTGTCAATTCTGTTTCTTTGAAAAAGCTTACCAAAGAAATATATTTGCAAAGGAGACGGTTTAATCATTAAATAAGTATAAACCAGCAACCAATTTAAAATATTTATGAATGGTTTGGTTTCCAAACATGTTTGACGCTTGAAAATGTCAAAGTTGCGCGATGCCACCAAAGTGAATTAAATCAGCCCAAAACCATTTAACTGCTTAAATAGTCTGACGTTTCTACGTAAAAATTTTACGCACCTTAATGAAAATCAGAACGATTGTAAACCTAAAAATTATTCGCCAATCATCCTGTTGGCTTCTTCAACTGGTGACTCTCAAAAAAAGGTTTTGTACATTTTATCTTCATCTATTAAAATTAAAAACAAGGACGATTTTTCACATATTTATCCGCGTTTAAGTTTTACTAAACTTTTAATGTGATATTCTGTAAATAATAATTTTGTGCTTTTTAAAATTTCAATTGTTTAAATTAATGTTTGTGACAGACTATGTGAGCCCGTCAGGTTCAGTATCAAAAGTAATAGCTACAAAATGTGAAATTTATGTAACAATAATATCTCAAAAACCATGAAATTTCACGTTACGGTTTTCCCCATAAATTATGTATGTAGATAACACTTTTTTTAGTCAAAATTAACTCGTTTGAAACTTAACATAAAACCCGAAACTGGTCAACTTTTATGTGAGCTTAACAAATCCATATTTCGGCAAATCAAAAAATTTCCGAGCTATTAAAGGAATATTCCCGATGACGTGATGGCAAGAATCGTTACGTATTACTTAAATATCGAATGAACGATGAAAAGCCGTAACTTTTCCTAATTGGATTTAAATTTTTACTTAGAAACTACAAAACATCAGGTGCTATTATCATACTTTTTAAAAGTGTATTTCTTGCTGACCTTTTCTCTCTCTTGTTTCTTATTCTTGAGTCTCTGTTCCATATTAATCCTGCGTTTATGGCTGTCATCGCTTAGTCACATTGAGCTCTTCTGCGCCATGCTGTGGCCACATTTTTTAATTCGATTAGCTTATATCCATTTTAACCTAACCGTTCATTACTTGTATATAATTTTGTTTTTCTATTCGTCTATTATGCGCTCGCCCCACTCTTCTGCTGCCAAAACACCATTAAGAAAACTCGGTTTTAGATTTTTTCGTTTGTTTATCAAATTTGGCGTTTATTTTATCTTTGTGTTATATTTCAGAAATTTGTCATAGCAGTTCAATGAAATTTACCTATTTCTTTATCTAGAATTTTTAGATTTTTTTTCACCATATAACGAAACAATAAGCAATGCAAATATAGCTTTGTTTTATGTTGTGTGCTTCCATATCCTACATTTTTATATTACATACAGAGTTGTTTAATGACATTTTAATATTTTTCACTTAAAATAGTAACAAACAATAGTATATTATGCCACTAGTGCGGTAAACGGCATTTGACTCACGAGTTTATTTGACACGAGCAGAGCGAGTGTTTAATAAACGAGTGAGTTAAAAAGTTTACCGAACGTGTTGCATACTATACTTGTTCTACGACCGTTGGTTTTTGGGTACATTTCCGCATAACAACACGAATACATTCACTGACATGACTGTCAGAATTGATAAACGTCAAAATGCAAAGCGTGGGAAATATCTCCGAAAACATCCGATTGCTCCCAAACCCGTGCGGTAGAATCCCGCAAATGTCCGAAGAGGCTCGGATTCGTGGGAGACGAAACTGACGTGGTAAAGTGACGTTTCCCGCACGCTAGATCGGTGCGTAATTAGGTATTTTACAGACGAGAGTAGAAAAACTCTTTAACCAGTAACGTAAAACAAAAACGGTGCGATAAAAATTTACTACATCTATTTTTATAATTCACACTTTTATGTAATATAAGCTCAAGAAAATTTACCTAATTATTATTGTATACAAACGATAGTGACGAATCTATAATAATATTAATTAAACGAGTTTCGGAACATGTTGCATTCAAACATTAGCTTTTGGTAACGCTTTTGCAAAACTGCAGGAATACTTTCATTGAGTGATGTGCGATGTGACCATCAGAACTGACAAACGTCAAAATACCAATAGTGTTTTAAATCACTCAGTTTGAAATTGTTTGAGAATATTACGATCTTGTTTTTTTAATATGATGAAATAGATAATTGGATAAATATGTTCAGTTTATATGACAGTTAAATTACTTAAATAATTCTTTAACATTTTAAACAATTTCGTTAATAGTTCTTTTTGCTTGCTATGTGTAATTAGACAGTTGCAAATAAATATTAAGATGTAAGTAGTTTAACGTGTTTTTGCTTAATAGCACATGAAACCTTGAACTTTTAACGATTTCAAATTTACAACCCATTTTTACAACGAACGAACGTGTTAAATTTGTGTTATTGGTTTATACATGGAGTACCGCGAATTTTGTCCTAAACCAATTTTGTCAGCAATGATTATTAAAAGTCGCAGGTGCGACCCTTAATAATCATTTAGTGAATAATACATCTCGAAGACCAATATCAGTAGTAGTAGTGACACCACTAAGAATTCATGCAATCTTGAGTTTTGATCAAATGCTTGTTTTATTTTTTTAAAATAAACATCATTATTTCTCAGCAGCTCATTTCCAAACGACTGACATTCAAAAGAAACGCGTAGCTCTGTTCGCGGGGTACACTAACCACTTTATTCTAAACTCTTATTAGTTTTAATCACTATTATTCAAATTGGGCGCGTTAAATCGTACATAAAACGAAATCAAAATAAGAGATTGGCAATCACTGCTTACTCATCATCAACATGTATGTACACCGAGTTTACTATTCAAATCACGAGAATGTACAGGAATGTTATTTTTATTGCGTCCAGACATTCGTTTACCAAATGAATAACATCAATCGGTAAATGCTGATGTTACATAAATGATTTACTTACTAGTTATCACATTTATGTTAGCTCAAAATTCTATGTTTGTTTTTGGTTATTCATCGACATAGTTTCTACAGTACAAACTTAGCATAACATTCGCTGTACATTTAATGTTGCCCCAGTTCCTAAAATTCCGCCATTTAAGTATGCGAAAAATCTATCTTTGGATGTCGTGCTGTTTATTAGGCGTAGTTTTGTATATGTACATCCACTCAATTGGATCGTTAGGTTCGAAAGAATTTTTATACATCTTTTTCAAACTTAAATTGACGTAATATCCGATCTGATTATTTAAGAACTAGGAATAAATATTTTTTATTTCTATTTCCCTCTTTTTTCTCTTTTTTTAATCAAATTTATCTAAAAGTCGTAAATTTTGTACGTTTGAAATAATCGTTAAAATTTTGAAATCGATTTAAAAAATAATAAAAAAAACCAAACGAAAATCAAAAACTATTGATATAAAAGTTGACAGAAAATGTTCGTTTAACTCAAGTCGTATCATTTAAATACAACCCCGAGTAGGTAAGTATACAAAACAAAAATATATTTTGAAGGGGAATTCGCTAATAGGAAGTCCCATTTTAGCGTATATCACTGCGCAGAGGAACTTATATATTAATTTTCGATAAAAAGGAAGTAGGTACCGTGCGATCAATTTATCTTGATATTTTAATTGGATGTAACTTTTTTGTTTTTAGAGATATCAAAGTAAACAAAAAAACAAAATATAGGGTTAGTAGCCAAGTTTTTTTCCACTCGACGTATAAAACAAAACATTTTCAATTTTCTGACAACAAGCCTACACATATTTTTTTAAATAGAACACCCTCTATATTATATATGTGGATTGGAATTATGTACCACTTCATATTTTAGTTCACTCGTTTTTGACAAATCTGCAAAAATACGAAATTTTTATATACATATATAATATACATACATACATATATAATATACAGGGTGTATTAAAAAAATATGAAGTAGGCTTATATGCCAGAAATTTGGAAAAGAACTTGGCTACTAACCCTACATTTTGTTTTTTTTTTGTTTACCTCGATATCTCTAAAAACAAAAAAATTACAGTCAATTAAAATGTTATCAAGATAAATTGAACGCACGGTACAATACCATTTTAGATATTTATAATTTTTTTTCGAAAAAAGAATGTAAAGAAAAAACCATTGAAATGTTTGTGGAAAAGGAAAACAATGTTGTTCGGCAATTATTGTTCCAAACAACCTGTTAAGTTTAGTACAAGGTTTATAAAATATAAGCTTTAAGGTATACAACTCAGCCGCCCCTTTCGAACCAAACCTAACCGAAATTAAAAATAGGTGAATATATGTGAAGAACGCTGTTTTAAGATATATCGAATACCTGAATGAAGATTGCCAGCGGCGGCCTTTAGGGGCAAATATGGGAGGGATTGTAATAAAAAATTGTATAGTAGTACTATCACGTTAATTTTTGGGTTTCTTGGAAATCCGACAAATTGCTAACATTTTCCTCAACACCCGTATTGTATTTGTCAGTCTAACTAATTCTGAAAACTGCACACTGCAGCGTATTAATAAAAGTAAACAAAATGAAAACCGCTAAGTCGACGAAAAACAAAAGCGGAGAAACCCTCGGTCAGCATTCAGCGACTTACCTCGGCTATTCGAAATAGCGAAACGAACGGAAATTGAAGCTAAAATCTCGTATCGGTTTATACGATGTCGACCGATCAAATCCACATTTTTCCGATATAAATCCACTCTATAGAACCCACCAGGCACTCGGTATAAGATGACGGTGGTAATCCGTAACGGCCCACTCACACGCACCACTCAGTTGACGGACAGACGCGTACTACCTATAGCTGGTCGTACGTTCTTGAAGGAAGGTTTCTCGTCATACTGACCGTTCAAGTCTACTTTTCCTTTTTTGCGTATCCGCGGGAGGGTTGGCGGTTCCCCACCGATCGCAAACCCTCGACTTCGGTCGATCTATCTGGAGGCAGGTTCATTTTAGTCAAACGAGTATGCGGTACGTCCAAGACGAACGTGTACGTCATGGGTACCTCGGAAGTCGGGAAAATACAGGCTGTCCACTTTTCGTTTCTTTACCAACATTTACAGAATATACAGAGGGATTCCAAAAGAACGGGCAATCTGACAACTAGAGATACACGTCTCATATAAAGTCGCTGGTTTCAAATTTTAAATTTCATTTAAAATTTTCTCATTAATTGAGAAAGTCTTTTCACATGACCGTATAGGGGAGCTGATAAATCTTGAGACATTAAGTGCTGAATAGGAGTATAATGATCTGGATGGAGTCTTTCTTTTATTCAAGGAACTACACTACCCAGCAATACCCCACTTATCTCGGGCAACTCTTACAAGCAGGGAAAAACGTTAAAAAACAGTCCTAAGCGGGGAAGTCCTAGGCTAAATCAGTGTCTGAAAAGAAACAAAAATTAACCGAAAACTCGTCTGCCTAAAAGGGTTTATTTTTAATGTGGTAGCATACTTTTGTTTATTTTGTTTTATCTTATTTCTTCTTTGAGAGTAACCGGCGCGTTCTAGGTGAAACTAGTTCAAACTGAATAAACTCAAATATGTTGTTTATTGTAAATATCGTCTGCAATGATTAATTTTATTGAAAAAAAATGGCTACTAACCTTTTCATCTGTCTTCCTATAAATGCTACACTTACAATTTTCTGGTGATTCCCTAAAATTCTAGCGTTGGCCGGGCTAGCGTTAAAAATATTCTCAATTGCTTAATGACGGTTTAGACAAGTCCTTCTGATTAGTTTACTAATAACCTTATATAACGCCTTATATGTTACACCAAAGGACACTTCATCTTGGAGGTAACAAGTTTTAAGAATCAAGCCTCACTTCAAGTCACAAACAGTTTTGAAACAATTCACAAGTTCAAATTTGGAGCCACTTTAAAAATAATTCACGTACTTGACAGCGGTTGGGACGAACCTATAAATTATCTTTGATGTTGAAAAAACTCTATTAATGTCACAAATCAAGCCCAACAATAAGTTACCAACAAATATAACAAATAAAAATAACAATATAAAATTTAGATATTAATACAATATCTGGTACCCTCTGTTGACTCTATACACCGATACATCTAAATCTCCCTCTAATTCATGTGTTTGTTACGATAAAAATGCAAACGGCTCATTTATAGCTTTATTAGGATTTTTTTATTGGTAGAAGCCCCCAATTCTTATGAGAATAGTTGGAAGTAAAAGTTTTGTGTGTATTGTAAAATAGGCTGCCTATTGTTGTCTGATTTGTCAGTATTGAAGTATTGAATTTTTTGTTTTTTTGAAATTTTTTTTTTTTAATTTTGTACAGTTTAGTTTACCGAAGTTTCTCAATAATAAAAGTGCACCATTGGAGATAATTGACGTTGATTGGCTAAATTTAGAGTATCCCCCTTATATTCAAGTGAAGTATTAAAAGTATCAAAATAAATAAGAACTAAAAGTTCAGATTTTCACGAAATTTTCACAACACCGTGTCTTTATCATTTAATAGCATTTGATAAAGACACGCTGTTGTCGAAACAATTGTCTTGTCAAAATATATAATTTCGTGAAAATCTGAACTTTTAGTTCTTATTTATTTTGATAAATGGATTTTCATCAAGTAAAAGCCAACTCAGTTCAATTATTAAAGGTATCTTTGCTAATCATGTCGGACTCACTTGATTGCCTGTCAAGTAAGTAATCTTCCAAAGAGATGCAGAAAATCAGGTTTTACCTAGAAATTGATGGTACCTTTCCCTTTCAAATTTTCAACAAATATTTAACAGAAAATTCTGGATATATCAAAGCACGTGCATATTTTCTGGTGGTGCAGGTAAGTTAATAGTTCGTTAATTTTTTTGCTCTTCTAATTTAAAACAAAATAATTTATTGAGAATTGTTTGAAAATTTTTTTTTCGATATTATCAGAATATAATTTTAATAAGTGTAAATGGGCTTCGAAAATGACTACGTGATGACAATGTCAACAGTGTAAGAATTAAATTTTACATGTCTTTTAATAAAATTTTAAATAGAGTGCTATGTTTATGATTTAATTTCTATTTTCATTGATCTGTTTCTGTATTTATATTTCCAAGATACGCCGAAGCAATTATCCTCTTAGCTAAAAGCCAGAAGTGTGATTATGATATTTTTTATTGCTTGCATACTAAGAAAAGTGTTCCCGTTTTTTGCCGCCGCTGCCGGTGGCGTTACACAATTAGTTAATTACATCTAGGTAAATGTAAAACCGTGAAGAATTATTTTTTTATTAAAATTTACCTTGACAATATCTTTTTTTTCTAGTCTATTTCATCACTCTTTCCGGTTGGCGTTAATTTCGATCATTTTAGATTCGTTTCTTTACTTTGTTTCTTCATTCATTCATGACTGAAAAATATTATGAAAATTTATATGTAAATTATAGTTTCACACAATCAAAAATTTATTATGTGCACTCCGAGAACTGAACCGATTTTATTCAATCCAATTATAATTGATTAACCGCGTTACGAGTATTTCTGATTAAGCTTTTATGGAAGCGTTGCCAAACTTGTACTTGCAGATTGCACGCTGATCGAGAAAATGTCAATTTTGAAAAATTATCAATGTCGCGAGACAACTGCAAAATTTTTATTTTTAGTAAATTTCGAATAAATAAAGCACAAATTTTAAATGAAATACGTTGGCATTAAAATAAATTGTGAAATCGCGAAACAGCCAGATCTCTTCGACACCGTCTGCTGTAACATAAAGCCTTGAACGACAGAGCTTGTGTGATGAAATGGTAAATTACTCGAAGCATAACCGAAAGTATTTTAAGGTCTACGAAAAAAATCGTGAGGACATCGCCGATTGCATCAAAGTTGCGCGATATGTGATATTCTTTTTCATGCAACAGATTTTTTGTAAAGTTTATAGCATCATTATATTATTTACTCAAACAGAAATTACTACCGGGTTGCCATACATATTTGACCGTTGTTTTTACGTAGCACATAACATTGATCACCATCAAGCCGCTCATATTTCTTTAAAATTTAAAAATCAGAGTAAGATCATTTATTTTTGTTTAATATTTATTTTAATTGACATTGTTTGTGGGAATTTCCAGAAAACTTATTATTACAATTGTTTGTAATAATAGTATGATGCGGTCCTATTTAAAGACACTGTATACTACATACACAGGATTATCTAGCAAAAGCAACTTATTGGAATAACATTTACGCCCTACTTCACACAGCAAATGAAAGTAAATTACATAACACATAAGTAGTAGTTCAATTCATAGCATTTTGTTGCTGAAACCGTTAATAATTTTAACGCTTAAAGGGAATTGGGAATATTGGAAACTATAGAATAAAGGACAAAGGACAAAAATCGAAAAAAAAATGAAGCGCGTTGCTTCAGTGTTTGAATAATTTTTAGGTATACAATCGTTCTGATCTTCATTAAGGTGCGTAAAATTTTTACCTAGAAACGTCAGATTATTTAAGCAGTTAAATGGTTTTGGGTTGTTTTAATGTGTGAATTGACTTTAACTTCATTTTGGTGACATCGCACACCTTTGACATTTTCAAGCGTCAAACATGTTTGGAAACCAAACCATTCATAAATATTTTAAATTGGTTGCTGGTTTTTACTTCTTTAATGGTTAAACCGTGTCCTTTGCAAAAATATTTCTTTGGTAAACTTTTTCAAAGAAACTTCCACAAGCTACTATTTACAAATCTTCTGGATTCCTCCTGCTTAACTGAAGAATATAACAGGATGATGGGCGATACGTCAGCAAGTTTGACTGACGCAGGAGGAATCCAGAAGATTTGTAAATAGTATTTTTGGTGACTTCTAAGACAATATCAACATCAACATAGATAGATACAACTAATGTATTTTTAATATATAGCAATAGCATGTACAATGTGTACACATTAAGCACTTTCAACAATAGTAAAATCTGTAGTTTTTTGATCGTTTTTAATAAACCTTTTGTGTCAGTTAAGTATTCAACTGGCGCATTCGGCTAACATGATGTTTTTTGGCATTTTCCGGTGTGAATATTAAAAAAGTACTATTAGAGATTTTGGTAGAAAAAATATGGCGGATTCTTGGATTTTTTGGAACTAATCACTTATTAATCGGTTGTTTTTAAATTTCGCTGGAAATATTGTAACAGATTTCTCACAGCATAAAATGTCATTTATATATAATTAATAAAAAACTATTAATAATCATTTACGCAATAAACAACACGTTGTAACGTATAATGTTGTTTGGCTTTAAAAATTAAAAATACATGCGTGACTGTATGGAAAATAAAGGTTGTGTCCCCGTTCATTAACTTCTTCAGGAAAGTACGAGTTTATCTGATATATTATTGCAATCAAATTTACGACGCATACACTTTATTTAAACAGACATAAAGACGAAACCAGTTTCGGACCCTCCATCTTAGTGGCATTTGGTGACGCAAATCGAGATACCAGTTTTCGCACTAAATCCCTGTTCCTATTTTACCTGCCGATTCAATAAAATATCGGAGTCAATAGTTGCTTCCGAGTAAAATTGACATTTTATTATACCACTTGTAGTTGCCTAATTATTGTAACATATTACTAAATAATAATTTCTCAGGCGAGGAAATAGCGAAAACCACCTTAAATATTCTTTGATTTTCCAAAATTAAATTTATTATTCGATCATTAAATGAAAAGAAAGCTGCTGTGGAAACTGTTAGCAAGCTTACTCAACAAATGATAAGATAATCTTAAGATGCGATATTAAGATAGTGGTAAGTTCAGTTCAACAATTCTCATATTGTTATTGAGGCGCGAATGATTGATTTAGTGAGAACAAATTTATTTTATTCTTCAAATGAAAAAGATTAATTGCATAGTTCACTTGCAGTGTTCTAATTAAGAGGAAATGCC